GAATCCATCTGAGAAGTTGAATCCTGCCACAAATGGATTGGCTCTCTCCATCACGCTAACTTTTAATATAATATATCAACTCAGTCTCTGGCCATGTTTGGTAAATTTAATTAGCGTTGAAAAGTGGTTTGTTTTGCAAGATGATCAATTTTTAACCTAGGCAAATGACTTTATAACTAATAAATTAAATGCATGATATCTTTTTCATGCAGCATGGTGGGGCTCATAAATACTGCAAGCAGTTAGCTAATATTTTCACTTGATTACCTTTTCCATTACTGCTCCTTTTAACCCTTGTAGGAGTGGGGAACTCGCTCTATTTTAATAACATGAAAGAAAAATATTGACAGCGGCCTTATTTAATTGGTGAACTACCTCTCAGTTTTCATTCTTCTCTTAAAAGCAGAGGAGTAACCTCATGGTGTTGGTGTCTTAGATGACAATGTATGGCAATTCCAACTTGATTTCGCACTTTGAATGGGCTTCTGAAGTTTATTGTAAATAATTATCACAAAGCAGAGCAAAATGTTAAAGTTCACAAGATGATCATGGTCAAAAGCTCGGAGAACTCTGACTTCCTTTTGACTATTGTGCTTTCTTTAGTGTGACTATCAGCTAACTTTGCTGCGCTGACCCATGCATTTCTAGGTTAGGTGCCTAAAAGCCATGATAATATTCAGCAAATTCTTAAAATAAAATGTTTTGGAAATGCTGCATGTAAAATCATGTGAAACCATCCCAAATACCCATTGTTTGAGCATTTTCAATTTGTAGCAATGTTTTCAGGGTTTTCCCAGACCAAAAAGTTAGCATTAAACTTTTAGACGTTATAACGGGGGCCATGTTTCCAATTATGCTTATAAAATATCTTGCATTGATAGTCACTCTACATGTTGCAAATGGTTTGGAAAACTGCACAAGTAATAATTATGTTCCAATTATGAATAAGTAAAGGGGAGAAAATACTTCTACTGAAGCAAGCAGAAATCTTGTCATCAGGAGTGGTTATAAGAATTATTTTTGGTAACTATTTATATGACTTCTTATAAGAATTATTTTTGCATGGTTGATAGCCTTCTATTTGAGATGGACCAACATTTTGGATGTAACAATTTGGTATTGAGGTTCTGTCAAAATTTACCTCTAAAGAGATCTGTCCTTTTATTGGCCATTAGCTCATCTTCCCCCACCCCCTAGCAGTTCTTCATATTTCTTATTCTGTTATTAGCTGTGCTTGGCTTATTTTGGTCAGACCTGAAGAAGAATGTCTTGCTTTCAAAACCTTGTCTGTTATCCCAACTACATAGTTGGTCCAATAAAAGAAATCACCCTGAGACATCCTTGTTTATTGCATAATTTCTGGACTATTATGACTAGAACACCACTCTCTCACTACTTATTCTGCTATCAACATTTTTGGATGCCATATGCATGAGGTTTTTTTGACAGAACTTTTTAGAGCTTAATACCTTTAAAGGGTTGTACAAATACAAATTTAAATAATATTAATAAATATCAACATCCTACAGACTGGCTCAAGTAATCTGATATTATATACTTCAGTTTCCAGATATGGGGATTTTAGAAATTTAAGATCAGTCCAATCATGTCAGACTTACTGAATGAAAAACTGCCTGAAATCACTTTTTTGTTAGTTATATAGTGTTAGAAAAGGTTCAGAAGCCTATGAACGAAGCAAATAGTATCTTGAAAACCAGAAATTTTTAAAATAAATTATCTCACCGTATCCACAATGGTCATAGAAAATCAGAACTATGTATTTAGTTACTTATGTAGGAATTTCATATTATTAAAGGTCAGAAATATTGGCTGCCTATACATGTGCTTGGAGGTGGGAGAGGGGCGGCGTTTTAATTAGAGCAGTTCCTGGTCAGCCACTCTAATTAAAATGCCACAGTGTCACTCACATTGAGCTCCTGTGCATTTAAAAATGGCCACAGGATGCTTTATCTAAATCTTGTTTGACGAGGTTTAGTTAAAGCACCCCAAGGCCATTTTGAAGCATGCAGGGGCTTAATACACACAGCTCTGCAGTGACACTGGAACGTTCTAATTAGATGTGGAGCAGACTGGATTCATTGAGTCTGCTCTAACAAATTCTAATTAGAACACAAAGGAGCACATGTATAAGCACCCATTTACATTACAGTGAGACTACTAACTTTTGTTTAGACAAATCCAACAATATTAAGTTGGACACAGGCTAACATAAGAAAAAATACACCATGATAAATGTAGAAATATTGCCCCTAATAGTAGTTCCATAACTACTGGTGTCCATAACTACTCTGAGGTGTAGGGGTAGCTGTTAATTTTAAGAGCTGACTTACCACAGAAGACAGAAAAAATAGCTTAGTGCAGATGGGGAGATTTTGGATGTAGTAGGGGTAGAATGGTTTCAGTGAGAGTCATGTACACATAGAGTCATGTAGGTTACATGTAGAGTTGGAAACAATACCCAGTTCCTGAGTGTATTAGCTACACATTGCAGAATGTCTACCAGAAAGCATGGCAGCTAGTAGGACTCCTGCCTCATTGGTACATTTTTAGTGAGTGAGATTTAAATTTTATTTTAGCGAGTAAGAGAAGGCTTAAATTACCCATATCATCTCCCCCAAAAACAATGCGTTCATACAACTAGCAGAAGGTTATGGCCCTAAATTTGCAGCCTACACCAACAATTTTGCTCACCTTTTGAAGGCACATCAGTAGAACTCTGCATAGGCATAAGGATGTGTGCGTAGAGGGTGGGTGGGCGCAGATCCCTGCAGGATCTAGGGTCTAAGAAGGAAAACAGCAAAAAAAATTTGCTTCGATGATTTTGGTTTGGGGGTACAGGGTGTAAAAGTTTCTTGTGTTAGGTGTTTTATTGAAACCTTTCATTTTAAACAATCACTGTAACTTAAATTCCAGTAGCAAATTCTTACCTACTTTTCCAGTATACTTGAGTAAAATAACTAACCAATGAAATGCTCATAACAATGTTGTTCAATGACGTTTCTTCATTCAAACATTGGTATGTTTATCCTGATAAATGTACAGCAGATACCGTAATTATAAATGGCCTTGACAATTAGGTCAAGTAGAGGTTGCATGTAGAGGTTATATTCCTGTGGATATTTTGTCAAAACATACTGAACAATTAGTAAAGCGAAAGAAAGATATTGAGATATGCCTCTTAGGGATGGTACTTTTTACGCAGCTCAGGGACACTTTGACCTTCTAGTTTATTATGATTCAGGGAAAAAAAATCAATATTTCTTAGCCTGACGGGGTTGGAATTTTAAAGAGCTATTGAGTCAAATAGTTAATCGTCCAATTTTTCCTTTTGAATTTACAGTAATAAAAACAAAGGCTTAACTAGGACATAAAAAATCGGAGTTTGTTACATATGAAACTTTGCATTTTATATACATGTTTTAACCTGAAATGTATTCAGAGGTCCTATGTTTGATAGTATTGCATTTTGGGTTAGTATGTAGTAGTGGGATATTAAATCAAGCTTGTGGTAAATTGTTGGTTACTAACTTTGTGTTTTCTAGCAACTTCCTTTTCTAATTTACCATGTTGAGCTTATTATAATTTACATAACACAGTTTGGGGAAACTCTCGTAATTGAGTATAATTCTAGTAATTACTCTTTGTACAGTGGCTTACCTGGAAATTTCCAGTCCTGTATAAATCATAATATTATTAGTTATGTTGTAAGCCTATGAATACAAAATCTTCAAATGCTACAATACTGCAATCTCAGTTAACCTCCCACGCCTTTTAAAAATATCATACAATAGATAAAATAAGTGTTCAGTCCATCATGTTAGTACCTGAAAAGAAAGTTTCTTTTTATTATATTTACCAAAGGCCAAAATCAGATGGCCTTGCTTATGCTGGGAAGAACCTTTGTGAATCATCCTTTAGAATTAAACTCCTTGTAAGAAGTGATTTTCAGCCTAGCTTCTCTTCTGTTGAAGTCTGTGGGAATTTTACAGTGTCACCAATGGAGAAAGGTACTAACCAAAATTAGTAAAGATGTTTAAGCATATAGCCCATAGGTTTTGGGGTGCTAAATTAATTGCAGTCAACTTAAAGAGCCAGTCAACTCCATAATGCAGAGCAATCTAACCACAGTATTTGTCACAAAGATAAGTCTGCACTTTGATTTGCTTCATTCACTCAAGAAAAATATTTTCTGTCATAACCTACACAAAAAGAAACTTTGGCCCTTGCAGTACATTTTCCTCTCCCTAGTTTCTATCCTAAACAACTAACTTAGAGTTGAAGCTGTTGGCCACTATGGTTCCTGCAGTTGCCAGAAGCAACTGGCAATTTTCAAGGAAAAGATCTTCCCCATGTCTGGGGTGTTGTTAATTATTCAGGCCACTACACATTTGTCCTTTCAATATTTTAAGTGGAAAAGGAAGAAAATAGCCCAAACAAAGTCACGTGTCAGAAATGCAAGATATATGTACTGTAGAAACCTAGTCTCTGCAGCTGTGGTTCAGTAAATACCTAAAGTATATGGAATCATAGAAAGAATGACTGGAAGGGACCTGTAAGATCATTGAGTCAGTCCCCTTCCATGGGCAGGAGGTAATTGGGATCAAATGAGCTCAATAAGGTATTTGTCCAGCCTCCTCTTAAAGACCGGCAGGGATGGTGATTGCACCACCTTTGCTGGAAGTGTGTTCCAGATTCTAGTTACCCATACGGAAACAAAGTTTTTCCTTATGCCCGGCTAAAACTTTTCCTCGACTAGCTTGTTTGGTCACATGTTTGTCATTAAACAAAATTCCTACATATATTGCTATGTAAAACACCACAACATTTAAAATCTTTGCCAAATCAGGCAAAGATAGTCTCCATATCAGATTAGAGTACTGTCCACAAGATGACAATATGTAGTTGGAATCCTCCTATGCTATACATTTAAATTCTGCTCAACAAAATATAGTTAATATTCACTTTTTTTCCTTTTCTAGTGATTTATGGACAAGATGGCCTACATGCATCATGTGAAAAGAAATTCTGTGGGCGGGGAAGTAAGTGTGTGGTTAACAAGGAGACTGATAAGCCGGAATGTAGATGCTTAGAAGATTGCAAACCTAGTTACATGCCAGTATGTGGATCTGATGGCAAATTTTATGAAAATCACTGTGAAATCCATCGAGCCTCATGTTTGCAGAAAAAGAAAATCTACATTATCCACAGCAAGGACTGTTTCTTCAAAGGTAGGACATAATTTTAAAAATACCTATGTTTTGTCCATTATCCATCTTATCTTAACCTGATAAATGAGGGCTGTGTGAAACAGCACCATTTCATTTCAACTTCTGTTTCACCATTTCAAGAGGACACTTTCGTTTTGAGTTCTGTTTTGTTTCATCAAAACTGTTTCGCTGTTTCGACATTTTGCCCATAGGCTATAATGGGGAAGCATGAAACTGCCTATAACTTGGTCATTTCTTGCCTGATTCAGTTGAAACTTGAACGGTGGTAGCCCCTTCTGAGGCCACGAGGCCTGCCAAGTTTTAAGGAGATAGGTGCAGGGGTTTCTGGGAAACCGCACCTCAAGCTACTGACGAGCAAAACTTGTGATGTATGTGTTAAGGCACAGCTGTTTTTCCGTCCCTCTCCCAGAGCACTGGGACTGGAAGGGACCTCAGGGAAGGATCACAGTCAATATGAGAGCAGTCCTTCCCCCCTCTTCCCCCTCCCTCTCCTTAGTTTCTCTTTAGCTGCAAGCAAGTGCAGCTTCGAAACGTTTCAAAACTTTTGAAACATTTCAACTGCCCTTGTTTTGTTTTGAGGCTGTTTTGAACCCTTTCGTATCATTTTGATTTCGCTGTTTCAAGCTTGAAATGAGTTGAAACAGTGTCGAAATGGGACACCTGGTGAAATTTCACACGGCCCTAATAAATAACTTTGCTACATTTTTGAAGAGAGACATTTTTAAAGGATGATTGATTCCAAAACTCTGGGGACTGTAGCACAGTACTTTATGCAGTGGTTTAACCCATGAATACATACCCAAAATGTAATCAAAGTAGGAAATGGCAAATAACAAGATTACATATAGTGTACCTATTGTAGTAATGTTTTATATACTTGAGTTTCTAGTGCAATAATATTTTACTGTGTAATTTGTTTTGCAAAGCTTTGAACAAGACAAATGCATAAAAACGGAATAGTGTATTATACAAAGTGTGTCATGGAAAAAAACCATAAAGTAGCCATTTTCTCCTACAAGCAAATGGGAAGACGATATATATTACTTGCACATAGCAGGAATATTCTCTTGAGGTTTGACAATGGATTACACTTTGGCTAGGTACAGGCATCCAAAAAGCCTGAGGCAGAATCAATCTAAGTTATGTGGTTTTCTGTAAGCAGTGTAGCTCAGGTAGTGAACAGAACACACATTCACCCTTTATGAGAAATAACATGTTGATATTGATGTGGCAGAGATGTTCATAATGAGAGGAATAATTAGCAGGTCAGTTCAACTCATACAATTTTTACCCAGTAAAAATAAAACATACCCTAAGAATAAAGTCCTCCATGGTGTAAAATGCTCCCTCAGAAAGAGTGGCCCAGAAGTTACAATTCACAGACCAAAATTCCAAAATGCCATCTATTCTGACAATAGCAATGGTCACCAGACAATATAGTTTTATCACCCCTAGATCATTTGCATGGCTGAAAAAAATATGTATCTGCTATAGAAAATTATGGCCACAAATTCAGGTCTTGGAGAACAATCCATTCAAACAATTGAAGTCTGCATTCTATTATCATTGGTGTCAGCAGTTGAAGTTAACACAAATGGAGCTCTGCATGAGAGTTTACTCCTTCCAGAGACTCCTTTTAAGGTTTTCTTTTGATTTTTGTTATTGAGTAACTCATGAATGCAGAAGAGAACTCCTGAATAATGCTATTCTTTTCTTTTATATTCAGCCAGGTTCATTTGGCCTTCCTTTAGCTATCATTGAAATTTTTAGAAACTGCTTATTATTCTGTTAATTGAGAGAGATCAGTGACCCTACCTCTAGATAATTGCTGTGAAGAAACGGTGTCTGCTGGATTATTATTGTAAATGTCTTTCAAATGGTCTATTATATTAAGGTGTTATAATTGTTACTGAGTTCTATAACAACTTCCAGATTACAATAGAGTTCTAGCACCTGCCAACAAGTTTGCATCACTTATGCACAACTTGTACCGATTCTGTATTAATGTCATTATTAAGACCTGACTGATGCTGGTGAATGTTTATTCAGACTGATTTTAGTAGGTCTACCACACAAATATGGCCAGAATTTTCACATTCGGATACTAGTTTTGGGGCTCAACTTCAAATATGGGACTTGATTTTTCAGACTGGCCAGTAACACAACAATTGAAGTAATATGTGAGCTCTAAGTATTTGGAGCTTCTCAGTGTACGTCATGTTGGGCACTTGAAGTGACTGAATACATTAATGTACATGTAATACAGGTAACTGATCCAAGCTATGTATTCATTTGGGACTCTTCTAAAAGGAAACGATATAGATTACAGACCTGATACCAGTTTGCATTAGTTTTACACTGGCATAACTATTGGCTTAAATTGAGTTAAATTCAATTTGTATCTCCTTGTTTTCTTAATGAATCCCCCTGTTAATTTACAATTTTAGCTCTTTGTATGTATTTTATTAAGAACTGTGGAATAGTATAAAAATGGGAAAATGGGCGAGAGGAATAGGGAGAAATTCTAATAAGATTCTGTTGGCCGAGTCCAAACCTAATTGTGTTGTACTCTCTTATGCCGCATTTAACCAGGTCATATCTAATTAACTTGCCATGCCTCTGAAGATATGCCTTTAAGAGTTAAGTACCTTCCTGTATTTTAATTTTCTAGTACACTTTCTTCTGGAACCTGCAGTTCTACACTCAGAGTAATTTGTTATTTTTTTTATGGCAGAAACAGTGGGGAAAATCAGAATATAGGTAACTGTGGACACATTTATATGTGCTGATTTAAGGTGCATTAGCCATTTTTAAGGTGCATTAAGGGAGTGGGTCTACATGTGTGCTCCCTTAATGTGCCTGAAAAATGGTGAATTTAAGCTAATTGCAGCTTAACCCATGTGTAAACACCTTAAGGTGCTATCTAACCAGTGTTATTTGGCCAAGGAAACACAAAATTGGAGCAGCCTATATTCTCAGGTGGTCCAAATTGGTGTAACACTATGGAGCAATGGAGCAATAGTAGAAAATTGGTGTCAGGATCTGACTGGCTGTGAATAAAGGAAGACAGAGAGCCTGAAGTGTAGATCATTCTGTCACTTGAATTTATTTCATTCCTGAAGATCAGATAGTACTAGAAAACCTTTCTCAACCTACTCTGCCAAATTGCTATCTTATTTTCTTAATTTTTCAATGTTACAGAGTATCTAATATGCATAAAGTTGATGAAAATTATAAAATTGATCTTTTGAGCACGATTAACATAAAGTTCAGGATTAGTTTACACTGGGTATGTCTACATGCATTTTACTGCTGGGTAGACTAGCTGTGCAGTAAAGCATCACTTGTCTACATGTGCACCAGTATTAGAACACAGTAAACTAATTAGTTCTGCCATCAGATAATACTGTTGGGGACAGTAGTATCTTATGGTAGGGTCATTTGCTGCACTGCAATGCACATGCAGATGGTGACCAGGTGAGGGTCAGACTCCTGTCTACCGCTGAGCAACATAGCTCAGCACCCTCATGTAGCCAGCCCCTCCATTGCCTGCTGCTGCCATCTGGAGCCCAAGGCTGACTCTTTATGCCCCCTGCCAGCCTGGCTCTGCTCTATCCCAGCTCAAATTGCTGCTGTTCTGGGAGCAGAGTAGAGTGGCACCTCAGTACCTTTACAATCATGGGCCTCTGATTTTCAAGAGTCTCATGGGAAGTCTGTGGCTGATCCAGGGATATAAGTGAGGTGTCAGGAGTCCCAGACTAGTGGCCTAATCATTGGACCATCCTTCCTCTTTTTAATGAAGGAGAAATGACTACCATTCAGATTTTTCAAGTGATCTATAGTAATTAGATTAGACCCAGAATCAATACAGCTTGTCTTAAAAAGGATTGGAAGTCAGAAAAAGAATACTGAGCATCAAAAGGGACCAAAGGGCACATTAGAGGATATGCATCACTGGAATTTATGCAAATCTTTATTCTGTTAAATATACTTCTAGAACACATTGATTTCTGGCTTTTTTTCCCCCCTTTAATAATATCTTTGGTGGGTCGCCAAATAATTAACAAGTGACATACTCAATCCTTGAATTGAATATTTGTGCCCCAAGCACTACTTGCCATGTAACGAGTCATTGTTATAGGATGAGAGATGCTTGGACATCCAAAGCAAGTATCAAAGCACCTCTTCACTTTGTCCTAAAAAGAGCTAGTGAAAGAAAAGGCCCAATAAGTGAGTTAATAACTTTATTTTTTTTAAAGAAATGCTACAAACCCACAAATTGGTTCTCAGCACCTCTGAAGATTAATTGTATATTTCTCCCCCTTTCCTGGAAGGTGGTCAATTTTTTTTCCCATTTTTACATATAGTTTGCCCTTTAAAATTATATCCGAGGCCCAATATTTTATTCATTCTTTATCTCATACACTGTAAGAGAAAATGAGTTCTCATTTCAGCAGTCAGGGCCCTTGCAATGCCTATATTATACCTAATGATACAATGTCATGCTTGCATAGTTTTCTGAACAAACCATGAAAGTATGTAAGAAAGGAGTAGTTTAACATTCCAGTTTAAGGAAGCCCTTAAACTTTTGGCAATAGGGCTATGTTAATAGTTGCTGTTTGATATTTTATTTGGGGTATGTGGTTTCGGCATATTGTTTCAGCCATTTTGAGACATGTCATCACCAGTGTCAAGAGCTTGAAGGCCACCAGGTAACATAGTAGATGGACATGAGTCAACAGTATGGGACACAGTTTGAACTTGCCCACAAGGGCATTTGTTGTCATTGCAAAGGTGCCATTGGTATAGGCTGGAGGCACAGTGACCACATCCAGTTCAAAAATGGTTGAGAAGTGCCCAATACTGGCATGGCCAATTAAATCCTGGTTGACTTACTGTAGGGTCAGAGATGATGGGGTGATTGATTGGTGCTTGTGCTGACCTTTTTTCATGCTATTGAGTAAATAAGGAAAAGTCAGAAGGCTGGACTGTATTGGCCG